CCCGCCGCGGCCCCTCTCGCCGCGCCGGGCCGGCACAGCCCCGACGGCTCAGTACAACGAACAAAACCAGGCGAGCAGACCGGGTACATGGATAAATATATTAGTAAATAAATATATTTCTGAGCACATCAGCATATTCACACATCTTTGTTTCTATCGGACATAAATACAGGTTTGCATATATATAAAACGTATTCTTCCTTTTTTTGGGGGGGTGTGTGTCATAATTTATTCCCAAGCCCCAAGAGCCAGGACAGACTCGGAAAAAAAAAACAAAACAAAAACCACCAACAACAAAACAATATTCACATTTCAAAAGGATCTGAAGGTTCTGTAAGGGGAGCAGAGGCTCTGTGCAGGAGGTCCCGCCAGCCCAGCCCTCGGCAGTGCCTGGGGAAGGGCTGGGGCTTCGGTTCCGGAGAGCAGGAGTTCAGGATCCTCTGGCTTCCATCAGTTTTCAGCTGGGACTTTGGATGCAAGAGAGGAAAATGCGCTCTGCTTCGCTGCAGTGGTGCTGAAGAAGTTTGGCGACGGAGTCCAAAGGTACTGAGCACTCAAAAGCATCGCCCAGACGTGAGAGGTGCAGGAACCGAGAGGAGCCGTTCTTCGTTTATCTCAGATACTGCTTCTTCCCTTCCAGGCAGCCCAGGATGGTAGTCCCTCTGCTGAAGAGGATCTTGAAAACCACCTTCCCAGAGAGTTCCTCCCTTTCCTCCCACCTGAGAACCCACCGAGGCAGACCTGCACAGTCTCCTTCAGCTCAGCAAGCCCCAGGGAGGGGGCCCAGCATCTAGGATGACCGTTTTCTAGATGAAAAGGAGCAGCAGCATAACATCAGGAAAGGAAAACACTTGAAAGCAGGCGTTGCCCTGTGCAGCCTGGTAATACTGCAGTCGGGAGTGGAAAGGGTGCATTAGTGCTGACCACTTTCTCCAAGAAGCTTGGGGCTTGCCGCAGATTCAGAGCCCTCCCTTTTTTTTAAGGATAAGGAAGGAAAGAGAGGAGGACTTTTAGACTGCAAACTAGACACTCGTTCCTTTGAGGCAGTGAAATGCATCCCTGGAGGCTCCCAGCCTTCTTGACTCCCAAAGGAATCAGTGGGAGCACCTGGATTTCATGACCCTCCCCTCTGTAAAGTCACCCAAGCCCTCCAGGATGGTCAGGGACATGGGGAACTGGTTGAGACAAGCCATGGACCATGTGCGCAAGAAGTTGAACAGGGGGAATCTGGACCTGCTCCTGGGTTTTCTTCCTCTCGTTTAAGACTGACTCCCCTGCAAGGGAGAAAACATCTGAGCTTGTGTCTTCTGTAGGACGAACAAGAAGAGCCTGGAAAGGTTAGAATACAATTCTGCTAGGTTCTTTGATGAAAAAAATTCATCTCTTCTCTAGACTGAAAGGTCCTGCGGTGGCTCGGTCACAGGAGATGAGAAATGAACACTAGTGAGGGAAAAGTGTTTTGTTTAAAATAGGCTATGGGCTGACTTTTAACACCATCACTTGAATGTGACTGATAGCAGCTGGGCCAAAGATGCCTTTTTCAAAGATTAAGGGCAGCAACCCTCCTAAAAAGCTTTCCTCACCAAGGGAGGCAAAGGCAGGATTATCCTGAGCTGGGACTACATAACTGGTGCACTGTCTTGAACTGGAGAAGAAGCTGCTGCTTCAAAGGAAGGCACAGAAAGCTTCCTGAGCACGAACAGACGGGGGAAGCCTGCCCCTACGCCAGGTTTCAAGCTGTCAGGAGTTACCTTCAGCTCGTATCCTCACCAACGCCTCAGCAGCATTAACTCTGCAAACACTCGGTGCCACATCAATGTGCACCTCACGTGGGCATCTGGGTAATTGTTTGGCCTGAATCATCACTTAGGGCAATGAACTCGACAGTCTCGTTCCCTGCTGTATGAAAACTGATTGGGTTCTGTATGTTTTGAATTTGGCAGGCTTTATTTTACTTCAATGTCCCCAAATTATGAGATGTGGGAAATAAAAACGAGTGACATTCAAAAAAAAACCCCACAAATGGGAGGGCGAAAAGTACTAAAGCGAGAGCCTAGCAATTTCTCAAGTTTTCAAAATGTTAGAAAAGGCAGAAAGGTGTTCCGAAAAATTCCTTTGCAGGGTCATTTCACGTGTCTCAGAAATAGGATGAGGCTGGGTGATGGATAGGGCTCTGCTCTGCATTTATTATGGATGCTTTTTCTGGGAATTTTTGCTGTGTTTTGGGGAAATGAGGGAGGAAGGGGAGAAGCAGGAGCCAGGCGAACTCAAGGATTTTCCATGACTCCTGGGGCAGGGGGCATCTCGGGTTTGAAATCAACACATGAGTTGCTCTGAACAGGGTGGGCCATCACACCCCTTTTGAGGGTAGGTGGAGGAGCTGGAGGATGAGCGAGAGACTCATTCACTGCCAGGCGAGAGGGTGGATTCCTTGCAATGGGAAGACTCTGCCCCAGCTGCTTCCCAGAAATGCTGACATTGTCCCTGTGTCTTCACCTCTCCTGCTGCTGGCAAAACGCAGCAAATGGCTGAGACGGCATCAGCTGAGGGATAATGAAGCGATCAAAAAAGTGGTGAGAGCTGTTGGTTTCCAGTGAAGCCAGAAGCAGCACCTTGCAGGGCAGACCTGTGAGTGGTGAGATGGAGAACAGCTTGTTCCTGTGCCTGAAATAAGAGTGGAAAAGTTAAATGAAGAAATCTGGCTTTTGACCTAACTGAGGAAATGAAGTCAGAAGCTACCAGGCCACAGAAAGTCATTTCTGCAGCTTTTGGTCTCGAAGGCTTGTTTATTTTTTAAGTGTTTGGCAAAACCTTCTGTGGCACGAACATGCCCAAATAGCAGCTTGCACTCACTCCACGAGCTCTCCAGCTAGTGACTCCCAAAACTGGTCTCTGAGCAAGCCAGCCCATGCAGATGGATGCCACAGGACGAAGATGGGCTGCCTGCGCCTTCAAAGGAGAAGGGCACCTGGAGAACATGGCTCTGGGTGACCATCGCAACGTGGGAACATGTGAGGAGACCACAAGTGTCACATTGCTTATTTGCAGTCTGCGTCTTGGCGTGGGCCATGCAGGTCAGGGCTGGTTTTTACATGTTGCCTGTGCAGAGAGCAGGGTGTGAGCTCCTCTACGGCTGGTATGCTGAATGTCTGTGTCCGTTCCAGCTCTCCAGTAAGCAAACACGCCAGTGTTTTATTAAACTGAGTGTTCATGGACATCCTGGGCCTCCTCTTCAGATCCTGCATTCAAAGAAAACGAAAAAGAGAAGTGTCAGCTACAGCGAGCTGAGCATTCCTGGACTCTGCAGCTGCTGGGGCCTCAGCCCTGCAATACAGAGAACAGATGCTGCAGTGAAAGGTGCTAAGGCTCTTCCAGTATTTTGGAGGGGCTTTTCTGGCCACCTCCCCAGTCAGTTTATTCCTCTAAGTTAACGCACAATAAAACGTAAAGATAAGATGTCAAGCAACCCTTTAAATATTTCAGCAGATACAGGCCAAGGGCATGGCTCGCCCCAGGACTCACATCGCTACTAGGTGTTTGCTTTTGAGGCTTTTTCATGTTTGCTCTTTGAGGCAAATCTGTACAGCCATTTTAAAAATCATTAGCAACAGAAAATAACGATCATTTATATTCACACAGTGCCACGGCAGCACTATCCCCCTTCCAGGGACAGGAGGCAACAACAACAGAAATTCCAGACAACAAAAGCAGTCTACAAGTGATGTGCACATGCGAGAAAGGGATGGCACCCGCGTTTCATGGTGTTCAAGAGGATGCACAAATTGCTTCCGAGTCCCCAAAAGAAGCCAAACCCAAGCAGTGGTGGTTGGCCACCAATGTTGGCCCTCACCCAGCCAGCAAGGGCCGCAGCTCATGCTCTTCACCAGCTCCTTCTGCCTGCTGAATTACTGACAGGCAAGCGCTGAGCAGTTTCCTCTGAAACGTTCAATGTAAGGACTGCCTGGAAAGGGGGCACCCAAGTTCCCGCTTCAGATCTTCCCTTTCTCTCTAAGTGACGGAGAGCTGATACACACCACGGTCCCAGGTGCCTCTAGGGTCTGCCCAGAGCTCTCACGCAGGGTCAGCATAGCCCAGTAAAGGCACACGTGCATTATTTTTCACATTTCCCTTTTCCTGAATGTTCCTGAGATCAAAAGGCAACGAACTCCCATATAAATATTCACAGAGAGCAATTCAAAACAACTTTTCAAAACAGTCACAGCACATTCTTGTTTGTTATAGCTCACCAGCTACAAGAACAGGAGCTCTGAAAATGAAATATATGGGGAGAAAACAAACAAGTGAAATTCTTTTTTGAAAATGTAGCTAATCGACATGGGAAGATGAACACACATGGGAAAATGAATGCACAGACACAGTGTGGTGCTGGGCCATCTTGTCTAGACTGTGCTTTTGCCCAGAAAGGTTGGCCCAGATGACCCTTGAGGTCCCTTCCAACCTGGGATTCCATGATTCTGTGGTTCAG